CAGTCATATCTCTGGAATGGATGGGGAACCATCAACCACGACCCCGGTCCGTCAGTTTTTCGTTTTTCCAAATGATCGTTGATCCATCGATAGTCCCGAGATCTCTCGGTCGCCCTACGTCTGTCGTGTTTGGTGAGGTGACCCAATGATAATCCCGCTAATTTCGACAATAAAATTTTATCCGTTCAAACCTCCGCTCGTCGGTATTTTTCATCGCATTCAGGGCCGTCCGTACGGACCCCTCGAATCGAACCTCCGTGGGGAGTTTGTTCGTTCTACACAGGGGGCACCTCMACTCTTTACTACTCGTCCGATATCGAACGCAGGCTTCGTGCGCACGATTGACACACATGGCACATTTTACCCAGTCGACAAACCCGGTCTCGAAAGGATGACAGTCGACCCCATAAAACCGTGCAATGCACGTGCAAAAATAGCAGAATTTATCGGGGAGGTTGGCAAAGAAAGCATAGGACGTGAGAGGGGCAGAATTAATAGGAGATGGAGGGGTTGCGGAGGCAGGTGGGGTAGTCATGATGACAGAGGAGGAAGGGTTGGGACTGTATTGCAGAGAGGGTAGAACAAACAAATTAGTCCTCGTGTCGCTTACTGCTTTGATAAGACCTCCACTTGTCTGTACCGAGGTCCGATCTCCTGTTCGGGTTCGTTCCATAGAATCACCTCCTCACTCTTYGGAACTTTCGGGGGCCGGTGCAGTCGTGTCAGTCCGTCCGCATTCCCGTGTCTCTCGTGCTTCCGTTGACGAATSTCAAAGTCCATGCTCTGCAGCACCGTTGCCCATCGCCCGATCATGCGCGAGTAATCCTTCGATTTCGTCAGAGCCAACAAGGGTTCGTGATCAGTTACCAAGGTGAACTTTCGCCCRTGCAAATAAGCACGAAAATGACTGATTCCCCAGAGAGCCGCGTAGCATTCTCCCGTTGGAGCGGCGTAGTTGCGCTTGCAGGCGGGCACCGACTTGGACGCATACTCCACCACATTCTCGAGTCTGCTTGGTCCCACCTGGGCAAGGATCACCGAAATCGCTTCTGGCTGCCAGTCAGTGATGAGAACAAAAGTCTTTTCGGGATTCGGTCTTATAAGGACCGGAGCCGAAATGAGAGTGCCCTTGAGTTTGGAAAACGCTTGATCGCACTCCGGCGTCCAGATCAACGGTTGATCTTTGCGCAGCAGATTTGTGAGGGGTCCCGCAATCGCCGCAAAGCCCTTGATAAACCTTCGGTAGTACGAGGCCARGTCTAGAAAGGCGCGAACTTGCGTGATAGTCGTAGGCACCGACGCATCCCTGACAACAGCTACATTCTGCGGCTCCGTTTGGAGTCCCTTATCTGTCACCACGTGTCCCAAGAAGAAAATGGTGGTGAGAAAAAACTGACATTTCTCAAGCGCCACTTTGAAACCTGCATCTCGTAACGCGTGCAGTGCCCATTCGATGTGCTGCACGTGTCCCTCGTAGGAACTCGAGTACACCAAGATGTCATCCATGTACACAATCACGCAGTAGTTGATGATGCTCTGCGCCAAACGCGTCTTCCGCACRAAATTCTGAAAAGCCATGTTCATGGYTCGTTGAAARGTCGCGGGGGCATTGCAGATACCCATCRGACATCGAATTCACTGCCACGTACCCTCGAAAAGCACAAACGCCGTTTTCGGACGATCTTCTTCCCGAACAAGAAGATGATGGAACCCATAACGAACATCAAACTTACTAAAAAATTGAGCACTCCCAATCGCATCAAACAACTCATCAATCCGGGGGAGGGGGTACACATCTTTTATCGTGATATCATTCAACTTTCGATAATCAATGCAAATGCGAATCCCTCCGGCCTGTTTAGGCACGATTACTACGGGAAAAGACCAGGGACCTATTGCKGGTTCGATCCATCCATTAGCTTCGAACTCTTTAATCCGCTGAAAAGCGGCCGCTCCTTGAGCTGGCGAGTATCGGTAAGGAACGCAGCTCATGGGTGGGTGATCTCCCGTGAGAATGGCATACTCGATCACATTAGTTAAGCCGATGTCATTATCGTGTATGCTCAATACTTCTGCTTAACCATTTAACACACAAATTAACGACTTCCGAAGTTCCGCGGGAACGTGACTCGGTAGGGTGATTGTTGATTCTCCGGAAATCGTAAGAGGCATATCAACCTAATTAACCGACCGTTCTCGCTGATCATAGACACTAGAAAAAACGGAACTATTGGTGTGAACAGAGAAGACAGTTGCTATCATCTGGGACTCGGCGGGGCTGATCATCTTCGTTTCTTTAGTCTCAGCATCAGTTTCTGAACCAACCGAGGTCGGTTCCAGAATTAGCCCTGTTAGATCCGTCATTTATTGCATTAGATCAGGTACATCACTTACCGGTGCTTCCGCTTCCTGTTTAATCAAGGCGATGGTGGCTCCTGTCGTTAATAACGACCTAGGCGGAAAAACAGAAACATCCAAATACTGTTCCGTTTGCTGATAACGCGTTCGTACGGAGAGAGCTCCTTCGTACAAAGTGTGAGGGGGTTCCAAATCGMCGGCCAGGTCAGATACTTGTAATATGGGTTCCCTGAGCAGGACTGAAGGACTAACTTAGGTTGTTGGAGGCGCAAGCGCGCTGTCTCCTGAATCCACGTTAACAAAAAAAATCCCATGAGAAATGAAAGTTGGAAAAACATTCCATAAAAAAAAAATTCTTCATATTTATAAATTATCATTCCAATGTTTGTCCAATTTTAAAATTTCCAATTTAATTTGATAAGTTCCCGTCTAAATATGGGTTTTCCCTTCCAACTACATCTATTTGTTCAAGATGGAATGAAAGTCTGGACAAATTTATGAAATATTTTAATTAGACTTTCATTCTACTACAACAAATATCGTCTAATTTAGATTGGATTAACCTATTTATGACTGGAAATCCTTACTTAGAATGTAAGTCCAATTAAAATATTTCATGAACTCATCCAAACTTTCATTCTATCTCTAGCATGCAGTTTAAATAAGAAGGGATACCCCATTCGTGGAAGGAAGTTTTAAAGTAAGACGAAAAATTTTAAAATTGGAATGACATTTTTTAGGATGGAATGAAAATTTAAAATTTAAAATGTAATTTTACTCTTTGATGATTATTTAATTCTGGGGAATTTTTCTGTTGGTGGAAGCTTTGGCCCGTGTTGGGGCATACTTGGAATTCTTCGGGAATTTCGTGTTCGAAGAGTTCGACCAGGTGCTTTCATTCATCTTCGCTACGCAACTCTTCTTCGTATTYCTGTCCCTCGATTCCACTATCGATATCTGAAGAATAACACTCGTCGGCATTAATGTATCGAATCATCCCTATTTGGGCCGAGTTAGGGGTTCATTTTATCGTACGGGTGAAAAWTCGCAAGGGAACAATTTGAGGCTTTCCCCCTGTTTGAGTGAGCACYAGTTGTTTCGAATCGAAATGCAGTCGTGCGCCCACCGCCATCGCCCAAGGTAGTCCCAACAACACGGAATAGGAACGCACATCTATCACGACCGCGTTGACGAGGACGTGCACTCGTCCAACCTTTACAGCCACATTCTCAATAATGCCTACGATATTCATTGCTTCCTCGTCGGTCGAGACATAGTTGTCTTTGTCAGATTGAGGAATAATGGATCCCAGTCGTTTTGTCTTTTTGACCGTATCTAAGGATATGGCCACTGCAGAAGACCCTGTGTTGATAAGGGCGTTAAACGGCTTGCCCCAAACTTCACAATCACACTCCGCGCTCTTCCATAATACTGGCCGTACTYRTACGAAGTGATCTTTTTTTGCTAAAGAGATCGCTGCTATGCGTGCGGCTTCAGGTTCGCCGGCTTCGGGTTTGGGCTGTGCGACTTCCTCGCTTCCATCATTCTTCTTCAACATTCGCTGTATRMGCTGATAGGTRAAACGCTTTTGATTTTTTTGACAGTGTTGCAAGAGTTTATCATTCGTCGCTTCGGATACGGTGAGCAAATGTCCTACAGGGACAGGAACGCGAATGTCTAATTGCTTGAGAGTTCTTAATACGTCAATGTCTCCCGTCCGAAACTGCGGACCAGGATTGGATTCGCGATCGACCCATTCGAGATCATCCGGGGCCGATCGGATCGCTCGGACCATGCCRACGAGATGTARATACTCAAGTGGATCGRCCACGTCAGCAKCATCAGAGGAAGAAGCTCCCGATGTCGACGTCGTTGCCATCGAGGRGGCTGGYTGTTCTGGGGCATATGTCATGAGCTCTCCTCCCTGGGCCGTATCCATCAACGTGGCCACTCGTCCTTGATTCAGGGCCACAGGGGTCGCAGCAGGTGGGGGCTGACTACGCTTCGGCTCCGGGCAGTCTCGAGCGAAATRTTCGGGCTGTTTGCAGTTATAACACTCGATCTATCCTGGTGGATWAGSTGGGTGAAAGAACTGAGGTGCRTACCCCGGTGTAGGTGGGGCAGGCAAGAGTGGAAATGACGCGGGAGSAGGCCGAGCAGGGGTCGGGTTAGGYSTGATTAGTCTSCTCATTATCTGTTCCATCYGCTYCATATGAGCGGCCTGCATTTGGACCAAGTTGCTCATCCATTCAGGCTGCTTGGTAGTGGTCGTATGGATYATTTGGGCAAGATGTAAGTTRGTTATGACCRGCGAGGGGGGTTCRGGTGAGATCCCACTTTTGACTGTCGCGATCGGTTGATTCACCSGGGGAGAGGAAGACGAAACARACGGATGTCAGAAACGATCCCATCGGGGAGGTCATGGTCGGGGCGGGGGTAGAACCATTCTACTGCTCGCAGCCAYGATCGCCTTTTAGCYGCTACATCCCGTATGGTATCTGTAATATCCTCTTCTCCCTGACTGATATATTTTTTTGTATCAGCCAGGTCCAGTTCCAATGCTTTAGCGATGATATCCGATAGCTGGTGTRTCTTCGGCGGGACCTTTTTTTGCAATGTCCCTTTCAACGTCGGACTTCGTAAGTGATCGATGAACAGATCTCGAGCGGACTTCTCGTCTCGCCCAGATTTGTCCAATGTGGTTTGAAATCGATCCACGAAATCGGGCAACAGTTCCCCTGGTCCTTGTGGCCGAGTTTTGAGCAAGTACCAGGCGGCATCTTCACTGACYGTGTCGAATCGGGCCAAAAAGGCTTGTTTGAAAGTATTCCAATCTACCCATACGTGCTTTCTAAACCAATCATGCGACGTATTGTGAAGTAGCAAGGTATGAACGCGGGGAAGATCACCCTCGCTGTAGCCTTGAGCTTTGACGGCTTCCAACCAAGCCTCGGGATGGGTATGGATAAGGAAGAAGGGAAACGGGGCGGAAATGCTAACTACTACCCTATTACCGTCCACCATTGGTATAGCTGGTATAACAGCACAAGATATAGATCTGGTCATTGGACGATCTAGGCGAGCGGGTGGGGGACTTCTTCTTCTACCTCTYGCCAGTTCSACTTACTATCATCAGAACCGACACGTGTCGGCTCCGATACCAACCTCACGCCCTGTGCTGTCTTTCGTTCGGAGTGCTAGATGTGCGGAAGGAGGCCCAGAAAAACAGCAAGATGGGGTGTGCCGAGGATTTTTGGAATTTGACTGTGGGGACACAGACGGAACTGAAATCCCYYGTGTTGGTCCGATGAAGTTAGTCGGTTGCTTTCGCGCGTTGAGGAATGCGCGCGCGGACATGGCGTGAAAAGAGAAAAATCCCAATTCAATCCAAAAAGTATTATCGAGCCTCCCACCGTGCTACGACCCGTCGTTTAGAGCGGAAGGGCTTGGGCACGCTTCGCGTGTCCTGTTTTCGTATCAAGTTTCGTCGTCGTTCGCTGGTCAGTTTTGAGTCTGACGTGGATGGTCTCAGCCGCGTGGCTCTTTCTTTATGCTCGTCTTCACTCCGCACACGGTAGTGGAAACCCTTGGATTCGTAGCGCTCAGAACTCTGACATTCGGTGCATAGAGTGCGCGGCCAGTGGGGTTCTACTGTCGTCCACGGGATGACAATTAACTCGTTGAATGGCAACAATATCGAGTAAGGTGGGAAGTGCGTATCGATAATGACAAACCTTGCCTCTACGAACCCAGAACAACGATTTGTCGAAGGGAAGTAGTATCGTCCGCCGATTTGTGCAACGACTTCTCGTACGTCCCACTCGCATACACGTGTCCTCTCCTTGTTCTAGGGAAAACGCCGTGTTGAGACGGGAGGTGCGGGAGGCTGGTGCCCGATCGGAGGGTACTTGTCAGTCCACATATCAATCAATTGCAAAAACCTCGAGACGTCATCAAGAAAGGAAAACTCTCGCGCAACCCCCAATCAATCCTTTTCTACACGAGAGAGAGAGAGAAAACACTCATCAGCTTGATCATGCATGTAGCTAACGGACCGGCCCGCGGCTCGGGTTTAGTGAGTCAACACGACGTTGATCCGAGGCGCCCTATTTCTCGAGGCCGCCCCGTGGCTCGGGTGCTGAGGTCGTGCAGCATAAGGCAGATGACATGCGTAGTTCATACAGACCTACAGATCTAAACACTCTTGTATTCTCGGACAAAGTCCCAACAACAATCATCTAATCAACGCAA